AAACAGTAAGGGCCCCTTTAATAGGGGCTTTTTGAGTAATAGAAGGCAATATCCCGGATGTTAATTTTAGAAAATGAAATATCTTAGATTTAGGATAATGATTATCAAGAATGCCAACAAAACCTACCAAGTTAACTTGCCATTCTTGGGAATTAACATAGGCTTGTTGAATTTGTTGTTTAGTTAACAGAACTATAATCTGATTTGGATCATATCCCATTAGCTTTGTTGTGTGCAGCCTTGCTTGTCCTACTAGCACAGCAATTTGATCCAGGTACAGTGTGAACGTTTTGGTTGTATTGTGAGGCAGAAAAACCACTCAACCAGATCATCCTGTTGAACTATAACTCCTGTAGGCAAATGCTTAGTGGGAAAAACTAAAAACTGTAATGGTTGCATTGGATTAATCTGTTCTATGTGTGCTTGCTGATTTTTTTCCTCAATTAATTGAAGTTCCTCCAATGCCTCTTTGGACAAGGAACATTTCTTGTTAAGGTTAGAATCACCTTGTAAGGTAGAAAAGAGGTGAGACATAGCATAGGTAGGAATGCCTAAAGTTGGACAAATCCAATCAATGTCACCTAGTAATTTTTGGAAATCATTTAGGGTTTCTAAATTATCTCTCTGAATTTGAATCTTTTGAGGCTTAATAGGATTTTACTCTACCTTCATTCCTAGATATTGAAAAGGTGCAGAAGTTTGGATTTTACTGGGGGCTATAATCAACCCTGCCACCTTTACAGCCTTTTCTAACTGTTTGTAGCACAACATCAATTCTTCTCTAGTTTCAGTTGTACACAAAATATTATCCATGTAATGGATGATATAACATTTTTTAAACTGTTCTCTAACTGGCTTAATAGCTTTCCTGACATAAGTTTGGCAAATAGTCGGGCTATTTAGCATGCCTTGTGGTAGTACTTTCCAATGGTATCTGTCTGCTGGTTCTTTATTATTTATGGTGGGAATAGTAAAAGCAAATTTTTCATAATCTTGGGCAGCTAAAGGAATGGTATTAAAAAAAAAAAAAAGCAATCCTTTAGATCTATCACTATGAGAGGCCAGTATTTTGGGATCATTGTTGGGGAGGGTAACCCTGGTTGTAGTGCACCCATGGGTTGAATTACAGCATGAACAGCCCTTAAATCTGTTAACATTCTCCATTTCCCTGATTTTTTCTTAATGACAAATACAGGAGAATTCCAAGGGGAGAAAGTAGGTTCTATATGACCCTTTTGCAATTGTTCCTGCACCAGCTCTTTTAAGGCCTTCAGTTTTTCCTGTTTCAGCAGCCACTGCTCCACCCAAACTGGTTTGGCAGTTAGCCAAACAAGAGGAATGGGAGCTGGAGGCTCAACAATGGCTGCTTCTAAAAATGACACCCCAATCTGGTCCGATCTGTTTGTCCTTTTAATTCTAAAGGTTCTGATTAGCCACTTTTTTCTTTCCCTAGTCCTTTTCCTGGGCAATATACCATATTTATCATCATTTGTCTACTGTTACTACTATATTGATCCATAGGAATAGATATTTCAGCCTCCCATTATTGCAGTAAGTCTCTACCCCATAAATTGAGAGGAATAGGTGTAATGATAGGCTGAATTGTCCCTTCCTGACCATCTGGCCCTTGACATGGTAAAATCAAGGAACTTTGAAAAGCTTCCGAGGCAGCTCCCTCTCCAACAATACCAAAGGATGCCTTTTGCTTAGGCCAGTGCCAGGGCAATTGATTTATAGCAATAATAGAGACATCAGCTCCAGTATCTACTAGTCCTTCAAAATCTTTTCCCTGAATAGTTACTGTGCAAATAGGTCTTTTGTCAGACACTTGATTAACCCAATATACAGCGTTTCCTGTTGCATTAGTTCTACCAAAGCCTCCTGTTCTCTTCATTGTGCTGCTTCCTAATTTTATGTAAGGTAACAGCAACAACTGAGCAATTCTTTCTCCTGGGGAAGCAGACCATAGCGTTGAGGAACTAGTTGAATTTCTCTGATATAATCAGAATCAATTATTCCCATATGCAAGTGACACCTTTCAAATTTAGACTAGACTTTCCAAGTAATAGACCAACTGTTCCTGTGGGTAAGGGTCCCCTAACTCCTGTGAGGACCTGTTTTGGTGGCTCCCCAGGAAAGTAAGGAGATGGGAATTGTGCTGCAGAGGTCTATAACAGCACTGCCTGCTGTGGCTGGGGACAATTGTACATTTGTAAGGGCAGTGACTGTACTGGGTATGTCTCGGTTTGTTGAGGGGCTCGAGGTGGGCCCCTCTTCCTGTTTTCCGAGAGAGGTTGTCCATCTTTGCTAATTTTAGAATGACACTGACTTGCCTAGTGATGGCCTTTTTCACAATGGGGGTATACACCAGGACTTTTCTGTTTGTTGGTAGCTCTTGCCTTTTGATTTCCTTTCCTACATTCCTTTTTTGTGTGTCCCAGTTGCCCACAATTAAAGCAAGAGCCTAAGAAACAGGGCATATTCTTTCTGACTCTTAATCCAGCCATAGCCTGAGCTAAAAAAGTAGTCTTATGTAAGTTACCCCCAATGCCATCGCAAGCCTTAATATGTTCAGCTAAATGAGCCTTCCTTCTCAGGGGTCTAATGGCAGTTTGACACTCTGTATTAGCATTATCATATGTAAGAAGCTGTATTACAACATCTTGAGCTGTTTTATCAGTTATGGCTTTATACACAGCCTCTTGGAGCCAACCAATAAAATCAATATATGATTCTTTAGGTCCTTGTTGGATAGAACTGAAAGAAGGATATTTTTCCCCTGTAACATTTATCCTTTCCTGTGCCTGTAAGTACACAGAGCGCAGCTGAACAATGGCAACATCCTCCATTACTGCTTGATTTTCTAATCAACCCCAATCAGCTCCGACTCCCATTAACTGTTCAAAGGAAACAGGCACAGGTGGTTGTGCTTGTGTATTTTCCCTTGCCTGAGTTTGAGCTTCATCAGCCTACCAGGTTTTAAATTTCAAGTACTGAGATGAAGTGAGAACAGATTTTGTTAAAGTATCCCAATCATACGGTATTAATCTATTATCAAGAGAAACGTTTTTTAATAAAGTTTGCACAAAAGGAGAGTTTGGCCCATATTGACTAATAGCTTGAATTCCTTCAACAGCTTAAAAGGAAAGGTGGTCCAATTAGCTATATTCTGTCCTCCCTGCTGGATTATAGTTAAGGGAAATTGCCATGCTTCAAGGTCTCCCTCGGCTCTAGCCTTTTGAATAGAATTTTGTATAGCACCACCAATTGCTCCAGATTTTAATGTTACAACTACAGGAGCAGTAAGTTTTGTAGCTAATTCATCTTCTCACCCATTAAGGGGAGAGAGAGGAGGTGGCCTTTCACTTAATTCAGCAGGTAGAGCCCACAGTCTAGTAAAACATACTTTTTCCAGTTTCCCTTTTTTTCTTTAATTTCCTCTGTTTCCTGTTTGTTCCTCACATTCAGAATCTGAAGATAGGTTTTTACATTCATCCTCCTCTTCCCCATCTGAATCTGCCTCATCATCTCTTTGAAATGGTTCAAGAGCTGCTTTTATTAGCACCCACATTGACCAAACCAAGACTGGACTTTTTGCTCCAGCTTTATACACTTTTAAAAAAATCTCTGCCAATTATCTCCCATTCATTCAGCTCCATAGTCCCTTGTTCCAGGAACTATGGGCAAAACTGCTTTACTGCATTAAAGGGTGACAACAAATTCTGACTACTAACTTTCACTCCTCCTCTTCATAATAAATGCCTTAAGAAATTTAAATAAGCAGAATGTCTGCTTTCACTTTGTCCCATTGTTACCCTGGTTCTTCCAAGTGCTCAGCTTATCTGCCAAGCTTCTTTTAGACGTCCTTGGGTGTCCTTTGATGATGCATCCTCTGCTTTCACAAGTTCTAGTGTTCCTTCACCAGTGTCTTTATTGCCCCATTTTGGGCTGCCAGCAATGTTGGGGTGATCAGTCCCAACACTAGGTCGTGGGGGCGACAAAGTCTGGCAGAGTCAAAGGATTGAGAAAAAGTTTGAGAAGAAAAGTGGGACCAGGGGGCCATCATGATTATGGAGGATGCAAAGGCCCTGAGCGCTGGGAGCCCAAGTTATTTATTGAGAATCCAACAAAGAAACAGGTCGTGAGAATGTGGTGGTCAAAAGGGCAGGTGCATGATCTACAGCTGTGATGGTTTAGGATTTATATGGAACATCTGCTACTTGAGATAATGGGCATACAATCAATCTAGGAGGGTTAGAAGCAAGAAGCCAGCAAGTCTAGACACATTCCAGAGGACGTTATGTCAGACATGCAAGCCCTGCCTCAGTTTTTTCCCCAACACTCAGCTTTTTCTCAACAAGTAGTGGGAAGTTTCAGAAAACTATGATCTATAAATTCAGTGACCAATAAGGAAACACCTTATTAGAAAATTATCTAAGCTTATACTCTAAGAAAAGTAAATTTATGAATCAGATCATAAAATTGTCAAACTAGCATTGGACTAGGTATATACAGATACATTTTTTTTCTGCTTCATAAGTGAGACTAGAATTTAAACCTGAATATCTTATCTAAGAATTTTGCTATATACAATGTCCAAACTATACAATTTTAAATCTGGGATTTGAAAGAGATTGAAATTAAACTCTGCACCTGAACTCAGTGCTGCTTCCCCCTAATTTATTTGCAGTTTTCTGTTATTTGGTGCCTCATGTTAAACCTACTGGAAGAAAGAGGTTCTGAAGCTTTCATATACTATCCACCTTTGTTTTGTTATCCTTGCTTTCCTCTTCAAGGCTACTGTGGATATTCACTGTAGCTTGATTTACTTCAAGTGAAAATATTCCCTTTTGTGGAGATAAAGGAGTAAATAAAAGGGTATGCAGGTTTATTTGTCCTTGACTTATAACCCCGAAGAATTAGGTTGAATTGGCTTAATCCAGTTCCTCTTTCCTACTATTGAGTTTCCTTCATCATGAGTCAAAACCATTCAACACTACTCCTTTTTTGCCACCTTTATTGTTTGCAGCCTTCCAAGTCACATTTAGCCTCTTGATTTCCCTGGAGTTTTATAACACTGCCAGAATGCTTTGTCCTATGATCACTCCCATCTAAATTATAGGTCTATTTACTGTGTGTTAACCATCTACCTACCAGTGATAACCTCTGAGTTCACCGCTCTTTCATAAACAGGAAGGTAAGTCCTCTGAGAACTGCCAAGTCTCCTGTTACCATGCAACGGTAAAATAGTTACATATTGGAGACCAATGTGCAGAGAAGAGACTAGATAACGCCAAAAATTGCTTGTTTGACTTGGCTTTTACTCAGTTGTCTTTATCTCTCATTCTTGTGGCTATATTAATGACCTTGATATCCTTGGTTCTGCACAGCATCCCAATCTCAGCTTGGAACCTCCCCCTCTCTCACACTCCACCCCTCCCTTACTAGCCTTCCAGCCCACTCACTTGAGTGCACTAGAGCAACTGCTTGACTAGTGTATTCCAATCAACTGACTTCCACTTTCCACTACAGATTACCTGACTCAGTTCCTCCCTTCTCCCCTTATTCAGCTTAGAACCCATGGTCCTTCATTAGAATCATTCTCCTGATGCTTGATCCCACTATTGGACTCTCCTAGCAATGCTCTAATCCCTAGTTAAGCCCCGCTCTCTTCTACTTTGTGTTTGCACCACAAAGCTGAGCATTCCTGAAACAAAATAAAAAACAGCCTCAACCATGCTGATTGAATTCACATATACAAATCTCAAAGGATCATTAAATATTCCCTGGGAGGAAATTTCCTACGATGTTTCCTTTCCCACTGTCTAAAAGAGGCTATATCACACATTGTCCTCTCTCCTCAAACTGTCTATACTCCCTTTCCTTCCCTCACCATCAGCTGACCACTTTGTCTCCACTGGCATAAACAGAAGCAATCACAAGGAATGCCCTCATCTCCCAGCCACCAAATCAATCAAACTCTCTGTGGATGAATGTCCAGATAGCTCTTGTTCTACTTCTTGCAGCACTGCTACTATACACAGTAGTGTTTGTTTGATGCAAACTCACAGTTTTCAGTTCTTTCTCCAGCAATAAATATTGATGAGAGGTTACTTATTGAACCTTACAGAACTCACCAAAAGGAAGAAAAATGACTAATTTAAAACATGGAGACTGGTAGTCTCAATGTGAGCAAGCTAGCATGGTGGCCCGTATTGTGGCGGGGCATAGGGTTGCAAGAAGCCCAGGCCAGAGTCTCCAGGCTGGGGGTTGGCCTCTGTTGCTTGCAGTTCTGAGTCCCTAATTCGTTCCTCCAAGGGGAAGAATAAATCCTCTGAAATTTCAAAAAGGAGGAAAAGTTATGTTAGAAAGGAGAAAAGTACTCCACATTCATCCTATTTTGGAAGTATTATTTGTGTTACTATAGCTAACTCATATGCCAGTGAAAAAACTCAGCCAGTTTCTGGGGATTTGCATCTAGAGATCAGGAAAAGTACTTGGGGCTACTTTTATCCTTAGGAATATTATCAAAGGACAAGGTGTTAAGATTTGCTTTGAACTTTATAATCTTCGAATCCGAGATTCAAGTGGTCTAATTAGAGAAATGGCTGGATGATAACTTGCTGTAGTTACAAGATGCCGTTCCTGAATATAGCACTGTTGATGTGAATATGAAGCCAGTAGCACAATAGCCTAGCCAAGAAGTTCCTGTTAATAAGCTGAAAACTGAAAATGAAGCCTCAGCTCTTGTCCAAATACTGGGACTGTCCAAATTTTAATATTTAAGGAATAATATTTGATCTTTGTTTCACCGAAGAACAAATGAAAGCAACTTAGAAGTAGAGACAGCTGTGACTTGAATTTGATATGATGAGGGAATATGATGTTTCAAAAATTGAAGCTGCAATATGGGATGAAATGGAAGCATCCAGAAAGTCCTGATTCTGAGTATGAATTTGGTTACTTGCAGAAGATATATTGGCTCTAAGAGAACATATTGAGAGACCAATTTAATTTCATTTATAAGAACGCAGTCATTAAATGAACTAAGCATTCACTGTTTCATTAGTATTTTTTTCTAAAATAAAACTTTCACACCAGTTTACTACTCTAAAAAAAAGAATTATACAAGCCAAATGGTCCAATATCCATTCCCTTACTGGAGGCACAGTTACAATAGGAGTCAGAGCATCACCAGAATGCTCTTTAATGAGCATGGAATTTGAGCAAGGGGAATAGGTGGAGTGATCTTTTTTAAATTGTGAAATAAATCATAAACACAACAATGTATGATTTACAGAATAATAAAATGGACATTTATGTACCCATCATCAGGTTAAGAAATAGAACATTTAGGCCGGGTGTGGTGGCTTACGCTTGTAATCCCAGTACTTTGGGAGGTCAAGACAGGCAGATCACTTGAGGTCAGGAGTTCGAAACAAACCTGGCCAACACGGGGAAACCCTGTCTCTACTAAAAATACAAAAATTAGCCAGATGTGGTGGCACATGCCCGTAATCCCAGCTGCTTGGGAGCCTGAGGCAGGAGAATCACTTGAACCTGAGAGCTGGAGGTTGCAGTGAGCCGAAATTGCACCACTGCAATCCAGCCTGGGTGACAGAGTGAGACTCAGTCTCAAAAAAAAAAAAAAAAAAAAAAGAAATATCTGAGAAGGTTAAGAAATAACATTGAATAAGATCTAAAACAAAAAAGGAAAACTATTCCATATTTTGTTTTTCAATTAGCTGTTAAATCAGATAATTTTATTTCCTTTACATGGCAAATGTCAGCTAGGCTGGTCCAGCAGTAGTGAGTTATCAGAACTTATTAACATTAGTGTCACTAAAGTTGGTGTACAACCCTAACCTCCCCCCAGCTAAATTTGACTGGCTTAAAACAAACAAACAAACAAACAAACAAAGTCCATGAAAGCTTTGAAAAATACTTACTTTCAACTGCAAAAGCACATTTTCTGAAATTTCTTTTATGTAACACATGGTAACATTTGCAACGACTGTCTTTGAACAACTTTCTGTTGCCTAATAAACAATGTGAGCTAGAATTGACAAGATCTTTTTTAAAAAAATAAATGTTGGCTGGGTGCGGTGGCTCACGCCTGTAATTCCAGCATTTTGGGAGGCCGAGGCGGGTGGATCATCTGAGGTCTGGAGTTAGAGACCAGTCTGACCAACATGGAGAAAGCCGTGCCTACAAAACATACAAAAAAATTAACCAGGCATGGTAGCGAAAGCCTATAATCCTAACTACTAGGGAGGCTGAGGCAGGGAAATTGCTTGAACCAGAGAGGTGGAGGCTGCAGTGAGCCAAGATCGTGCCACTGCACTCTAGCCTGGGCAGCAGAGCAAGACTCTGTCTCAAAAAAAAAAAAAAAAAAAAGTTCGGTTAATGGATGGTTTGTTGGGATTTTTCAAATGTCTTGACAATGTCTCAATCCCATTTTGGAACACGGTACATTGACAAAATGCTTGCTTTTTTTTTTTTTTTACAAACTAAGTATTTAATTTTTGGTTCCTGTCTTGATGGAGCAAGGTATATTAAAGATTTATCAAAATTTACGCTGATGAACTATGACCTGTGAAGACAGATGTTACATGGACTATAGCACAGAGCATGAGTTAGGAAGACACTTAGGGAAACCTGTGTGGTTCTACAGCCCCATGGGAGTAGTTCTATGTCTGTTACAATAAGACTATAGTTGCACCAGTAGATTCTTTAAGGAAGAGAGGAGAGTGGGAAGAGGGAAACTGATGTTATGAGCACTTACATGTGTCAGACCTTGTGCTAGCAGGACTACATAAGGATTTTTGCTTGTTCTTCGTTTTATGTCTAGTGACCCCATTCTTCCTTCAGATCTCATCTCAAGTAATTCTTAGTATGTGGAGCTTTCCCAGACTTGACCAAATTCCTACAGCACCATGTACCTCCTATCGTAACATGTATCATAGTTGCAATTTGGCATTCATTTGCATAATTATTTTTACCAATATCTATCTCCCCAGCGAACTTGTTGGCTCATAAGGGCAGCCCAAATCAACCAATGGTGATTGGTTTTGCTTCACATCGTAGCCACAGTATCTGCCAAAGTGCTTCTATGTATCAGGAATTTAATAAATATGAAGTGGACGAATGCATGGTTGAAATTTAAGCTTATAGTCATATAGACCTACATTTGATTCCTTATGTAGCAAACTGAATAATGAAAGATATCAGGTCTTAATCCTTGGAACCCATAAATGTTACCTAACATGAAAAAAGGGTCTTTGCAGATGTAGATAAGAATTTTGAGATGGTGAGATTATCCTGGTGGGCACTAAATGAAATCACAAGTGTCCTTACAAAAGAGTGGGAGAGGCTGGGTGCAGTGGCTCATACCTGTAATACCAGCACTTTGGGACGTCAAGGCAGGTGGATCAGCTGAGGTCAGGAGTTCAAGACCAGTCTGGCCAACATGGTGAAACCCCATCTCTATTAAAAATACAAAAATTAGCTGGACATGGTGGTGCATGCCTGTAATTCCAGTTACTTGGGAGGCTGAGGCAGGGGAATCGCTTGAACCTGGGAGGTGGAGGTTGCAGTGAGCTGAGATCGTGCCACTGCACTCCAGCTTGTACAACAGAGAAAGACTGTCTCAAATAATAATCATAATAGTAATAATAATAATAATAATAAGAAGAAGACAGGGAGAGGCAAATTTGATTCAAACAGGAAAGGGGAAGGCAATGTGACCACAGAAGCAGAGATTGGACTGATGTGGCCACAAGCCATGGAATGTTAGCAGCCACCAGAAGCTCTAAGAGGCAAAGAATGGATTCTCCACTGGAGCCTCCAGTGAGAGCATGGTCCAGTAGACACTTTCATTTTGGTACAACAAAACTGATTTTGGACTTCCAGTCTCCAGAACTGTGAGAGAATAAATTCCTGTTATTTTCAACTACTAATTTGTGGTAATTTGTTATAGCAGCCATAGAAAAATAATACATCTGACTCTAGAAATTATTAGATAGGCTGTGTGAAGTTGAGCAAGTTATTTAACTTCTCCAAGTCTGAATCCTCATCTCTAAAGTAGAGGCAATCAGACCAGCCCTCCTGGGGGTAATTGTCAGCTCTAAACGTGGTGATATGTGTAAAGTATATAGCCAATTGTAGGTATCACATTGTAAATGCTTGAAAAAAATAATAATTACAATTTTTTTGGACATTTTATAAAATTTATCTTCTTTAACTCTCATAGCTCTATGATGTTGATTACCATATCTCCTCATTTTATAGGTAAGGAAACAGGCATAGAGAAGTGAATGTGCCCAAACTTCATAGACAAAATAAAAAAAAACCACCATGAGCATAATATTTTTGAAATATTTTTAGATGTTTTTATATTTGAATGTCTTATTGCCCTGAGGCACTCCATCCCTTGAAATAATGGTTTTCATGCTTTAGGGGGAAGAATACATATGAATTGGAACAAAGAAGCAACTGTCAAATGGGATTTTTGAGTCTCCAGCACAGGATTAATCTTGAAAGCCAGGCTTTGTCAAGTGAGAAGGGGTTTTAAAAAATCCTTCTGCATGCATTAACTTGTCAAGAAGCAGGACTGGTGAGTGTGAAGGGTTTCTTTAACTGAAAAAACAGAAGATATGAAAAAATGTTTTTTTCCATAAGGAAAGAGAGAGAAGGAAGGAAGCTACTTATGACCCAGTGAATTGTGGGAAATAAGAGGGAGATGACGGTAGTAGAACCAAGTATTAGTTGGGTGTGGTGGTCACGCCTGTAATCCCAGCATTTTGGGAGTTTGAGGCAGGTGGATCACTTGAGGTCATGAGTTCGAGACCAGCCTGGCCAACATAGTGAAACCTTGTCTCTACTAAAAATACAAAAATTAGCCAGGCGTGGTGGTGTGCGTCTGTAATCCCAGCTACTCAGGAGGCTGAGGCAGGAGAATCGCCTGGACCTGGGAGGCAGAGGTTGCAGTGAGCCAAGATCACCCCACTGCACTCCAGCCTTGGCAACAGAGCGAGACTCTGTATCTAAAAAAAATAAAATAAAATAAGCAAGTGTGAAGAATCCAGTATCCTGATCCCACACAATGCCCACTTGAATGCTGCTGTTTATCCAGTTTCAATGTTTATAACATCTACTTCTCTATGTTGTGAACAATAAAATTTGGTGGAGTTTTAACGGCTTATCATTGCACTTGGGATAAGATCCCAATTCCTCAGAATGGTGTGTAAGGCCTTAGATGTTTAAGTCTTGAGTCAGGATTTTTACATAAAATTAACACAATCATAATGATAGGGTTTATTTTCTTGATTAGTCCAGAAGCCAGCTGTCCAGGGCCAGTGCATCTACTTGAGGAAGTCATAAAAGACAGGCTCCTTCTTGCACCCTACTCTGCCATCCATACTGTGTGGTTTTTGTCAGTATTGTTCTCAGGATATCTCCTCCTTCTCTAGGAATTATGTCCTCCTTTCAAGCTGGAATAAAGGAAGGAGGCGAAATGGCAAAGGGTAAATGGTGCTTATGAAATGAGCTAATTCCTTTTTACCAGGAAAACAATACCCTTTCCGGAAGACCCACACAGTAGACTTCCACTTTCATTTCATTGACCAGAAAGAGCCACATGGTCCCTTTAGCTGCAGAGAGAATTAGGGAGGTAGAAGTTAAAACTAGGCCTATTTCTACACATAATGTGGAAGAAAGAATTAATGGGTATTGGGAAGCAGCCAGCAGTGTCCACCATACTGGCCTAAATACCTAAATACAGATTATTATGCCCCTAGTTTACTATGCTTTAGTTTATTGGTCTTTCTATTCCTTGGCTATTTTATTTTATTTCATTTTTTTGAGATAAAGTCTTGCTCTGGCGCCCAGGCTGGAGTGCAATGGCATGATCTTGGCTCATTGCTACCTCCGCCTCCCGGGTTCAAGCGATTCTTCTGCCTCAGCCTCCTGAGTAGCTGGGATTACAGGCGGCTACCACCATGCTCGGCTAATTTTTGTATTTTTAGTAGAGACATGATTTCACCATGTTGGTCAGGCCGGTCTTGAACTCCTGACCTCAGATGATCCACTTGCCTTGGCCTCCCAAAGTGATGGGATTACAGGAGTGAGCCACTGTGCCCGGCCTCCTTGATTATTCTTATTTCTTTCCTACCTCAGATCTGTTTTTTCAACGTACAGTCTTACCTGCCTTGAATGCTCTTTTCCCAGCTTTTTCAATGACCGGCAGCTTCATGTCCTTAGGTCTCTGCACAAATGTGACCTCATCAGAAAAGACATCCTCCCCCTGCAATCTAAAGTAGTCACTTCTCCCTCAACTATTCTGTCCCTCAGCAAGTTATCTATTTCCTTCACAGCACTTTTCCTAATCTGGAATTCCTAGTTTATCGGTTTACTTATTAACGTTTATTTCCCTCTCCTATAAAGTAAGCTTCATGAGAGTAGGACCTTGTCCATCTTGTTCACAACTGTATTCCTGGCACCTGGGGTGGTGTGCTTGGTAAATAGTATTATTTGTCATTATGGTATAATGTGAATAAATGCAAACCTGAAAGAGGCAATCCTTTAAGATGGATCCCATGTGGCTAACAAATTTTAAACAAGTGGCCATTTGCTTACTAAAGGTCACACACATACTCTGAGTTCACTGAAAACTCACACCTCTATTGAACTTTGGGATTTACGAAACTCACCCGAACCAACAAACAGGAGCTCAGCTGTGTCAATCAATCAGAACTAAGCTAGTTTGAATCCCTCATTTGTATAAACAGACCTAATTAGTAATCTGGGTGGCAATTTTGGTTATAAAATCCAAACCCTCTCTCTGTTCTCTGGAGCACACTTTTGTTTTACACCAAAGGCCATGTTTCCCTGGTTTGCAAACTGTCCACTGGAATAAAGTCTCTTCCCTCCAAATTCCTTTTCAGAGAATGTTTGTTTACAATGACTAAATGAATGGAAGAGAAAAAAAAAAAAGAGAGAATACGTTAGACCATTCTTGCATTGCTATAAAGAAATACTTGAGGCCGGGCATGGTGGCTCATGCATGTAATCCCAGCACTTTGGGAGGCCAAGGTGGGCAGATCACGAGGTCAAGAGATTGAGATCATCCTGGCCAACATGGTGAAACTCTGTCTCTACTAAAAATACAAAAAATTAGCTGGGCTTGGTGGCGTGGGCTGAGTAGTCCCAGCTACTCAGGAGGCTGAGGCAGGAGAATCGCTTGAACCCCAGAGGTGGAGGTTGCAGTGAGCCGAGATCACGCCACTGCACTTCAGCCTGGCAACAGAGCGAGACTCCATCTCAAAAAAAAAAAAAAAAAAAAAAAAAAGAAGAAAAAAAAGAAATACTTGAGACTGCATAACTTATAAAGAAAAGTGTTGCAGGGAGTCAGGGACCCCGAACAGAGGGACCGGCTGGAGCTGCAGCAAAGGAACACAAGTTGTGAAGATTTCATTTTAATATGGACGTTTATCTGTTCCCAAATAATACTTTTATAATTCTTATGCCTGTCTTCAATCTCTTAATCCTGTTATCATCATAAGCTGAGGATGTATGTCACCTCAGGACCACTGTGATCATTGTGTTAACTGTACAAATTGATTGTAAAACATGTGTGTTTGAACAATATGAAATCAGTGCACCTTGAAAAAGAACAGAATAACAGCAATTTTTAGGGAACAAGGGAAGACAACCATAAGGTCTGACTGCCTGTGGGGTTGGGCAAAAAGAGCCATATTTTTCTTCTTGCAGAAAGCCTATAAATGGACATGCAAGTAGGAGAGATATTGCTAAATTCTTTTCCTAGCAAGGAATATCAATATTAAGACCCTGGGAAAGGAATGCATTCCTCGGGGGCAGTCTATAAACGGCTGCTCTGGGAATGTCTGTCCTATGTGGTTGAGATAAGGACTGAGATACGACCTGGTCTCCTGCAGTACCCTCAGGTTTACTAGAATTGGGAAACTTCATCCTGGTAAAGTTTTGGTCAGACCGGTTCTCTGCTCTTGAATCTTGTTTTCTGTTAAGATGTTTATGAAGACAATACTTGCACTGCTGAACATAGACCCTTATCCAAGAGTTCTGATTTTGCCCTTGTCCTGTTTCCTCAGAAGCATGTGATCTTTGTTCTGTCTTTTGCCCTTTGAAGCATGTGATCTTTGTGGCCTACTCCCTGTTCGTATACCCCCTCCCCTTCTGAAATCCTTAATAAAAACTTGCTGGTTTTGTGGCTCAGGTGGGCATCATGGTCCTACTGATATGTGATGTCATCCCCGGTGGTCCAGCTGTAAAATTCCTCTCTTTGTACTCTTTCTCTTTATTTCTCAGCTGGCCGACAGTTATGGAAAATAGAAAGAACCTATGTTGAAATATTGGGGGTGGGTTCCCCTGATAGAAAAGAGGTTTGCTTGGCTCACAGTTCTACAGGCTGTACAGGAAGCATGGTGCTGGGCATCTGCTTGGCTCCTGGTGAGGCCTGAGAAAGCTTACAATCATGGTGGAAGGCAAAGGGGAGCTGACATTTTGGTGAGACTGGGAGCCCGAAAGAGGTGGGGGAGGTGTCATACATCTTTAAATAACCAGATATCACATGAACTCACTATGACAAGGACAGCACCAAGCCATGAGGGATCCACCCTCATGACCCAAACACCTCCCACCAGACCCCATCTCCAACACTGGGGAATACATTTCAACATGAGATTGCGGGGGACAAATATCCAAACTATATCAGGGAAATAGTTGAGATTCTGAATTACTCTTTTAGCATACCCATCAATTCCAATGATCACATATGTCACTTTCCTATTTAAAAATTCTCATTTCTCAGTGTCATTGGCCTGTCTCACCAACTATTGTAAGATGTCCTTAAAGTTGGTATATGCTTCATAAATTTTAAAAAAGTCCTTACTTCTCCTTACTTAAATTCTGATGACATCTGTTTAACTAATTTAGGACGTGGGTAATTTGATAATGAGATTTCTTTTTTTTTTTTTTTTTTTACCCAAGAGCAGGTTGCGGAACATGCACTCACTACACCCTAGAAGACATGGAAGTATGCATCCCCGAAGGGAGGAACCCAGGAGATCTGGCTGTCCCAGCTAACTGCGATTTGGTTTCAGTGCCATGGAATTGGTTTTGTTTGCACAGTTGTGTAGTTCATCAAACTAAGTTCACGCTAGCCTCCCCTTAAGGAATGTGGAGTTAGAAGACTAGGGTCTGAGGAGCTTCCTGTGAGAACTACTTTCTGTTGCTCCCTTTCTTTGCTTGTTGACTTTGTAACTCACTGCTTTTCTCCTGTCCTCTCTCTTGACTAATTTGTCAGCAGACTTTGGAAACGCTGAACTTGATGAACAGAGCCAGTCTAATACATTTCCAACTTAAGCAGTGATTAACAACTTTGAGAGCAAAGTTTATCTGACAAGAGGAAGCCAAGTACAGATATTTATTTTTAAAATGCACATTTCAATAATACTACTTCTCAACCTGAGATAGCAGTCAAAATAAACGAAGCTGGACACTAGTTAAAGCAGTAAGGACAGACTTTATATTCAGTAATGCCAGTCCAATAGGGAAGAGAGTGTAATATGAACAAACCCCACACTTCCCTGAAACAAAAGGCTGAGGTATGCAACAGAGAAAGGCACAAAAGGATCTTAAGTTTTGGGGGGTGGCGGGCGGCTGGGGGGGGGCGGTGGTTTGTTGATTGATGTGACTATGCCATTTGGGTTTGTTAACTGGCTTGTATCCAGAGAAGAAACAAACTTCTATCTTCATGATATGAGGCAGTGGTGCTAGCTAAAGCAAGGTACTTGCCTCCTATAGGGATCAGGAGCGGTTTCATTCCCATAACCAAGTACTATTCAAAATATGGCTAAAACCCGCGTGGTTCTGCAACAACTTACTGCCTTAAAAAACCAGGGCAGGGCCAGGAGCGTTGGCTCACGCCTGTGAGGAGGCCCAGGGCAGTTGGATTGTTTGAGCTTGAGAGTTGGAGACCAGCCTGGGCAACACGGCAAAAATGTCTCTACAAAACATACAAAAATTAGCCAGGTATGGCGGTGTGTGCCTACAGTCCCAGCGACGTCGCGGGCTGAGACAGGAGACTCGCTTAAGCCCAGGAGGTTGAGGCGGAAACGAGCTGACATCGCGCCCCTGCACTCCAGCCTGGGCGACAGAGCCAGCCTCTTGTCTCAAAAAGCAAACACACAAACAAAACCCAGGGCAACAAGTCTCTCTCAAACCTCTTTGCTTCTTTCCCACTTATTCCCCTTCCAGTTCCTCGTCTGTTAGACGTTTCCTTTCCTCTGGTACTTTCTTGGTAGTTCCCTTCGGCTCCAAGTACGCCTGCGCAGCCTGGGAAGTCTGGGAAGTCGGAGACCGAAGGCGCTACGAAGCCGGCAACGCACGACCTTTGCTTTGCGGGGCGGCCGTAAAGCGCCATTACGCAGCCAGAAAGTTACGACGTCATTGGTTGCGGTTCTTCCGGCAGCTGGCGCTGTGCGTCACGTGCTGGTGTGGATTTTTCTCGATGCACTGGGTAAAGACTTGGACTCTAGCGTGGGAGGGCGCTTGATTTGTGATTTATAGGTAGGCACAGCTACTCCCGTTCGGGAACCCAACGGCAGCCGGGTCCTAGTGCCCACTAGATACGGGGGGCCGGGACTCGGAGCTGTGGGTTGTGGGGAGGCGGAGGCACCAACTAAGAGCAACCTGGCATCGCGAAGCCGCCCTCGGGGCGCTGATGGCCCGACGCCTCCTGGGAAGGGCTTTAGCTGCAGTGTCTCTCTCTGTGGCCTTGGCCTCTGTGACTGTCAAGTCCCCTGGCTGCCGCCGCATCCCTGCGTTCAGGTATTGCACCCTCCTACTGCCGGCTCATTTGCCCTAGACCCTGAGTTGGGGTGGGAACCACCTTTATTTCCGGCGTATTCTGTAGGCTTTGCTTTGTCTGCCGGGTTTTTCTAGTCATATGCAAGTTTTCAAAAAGGCTCTAAAATGTTTTATCTAGCTTTTGAGGAAAACGAGTGGCAGGGACCCTTTTTGATCTCTTATTTTGAAATTTGCCATCCTCCGTAAATCTTTGTTAGTATCACGAGAGAGTTTAAATAGCACTTGTTTGGGGTGGTGGTGTCCCGTGCCATTTTTTTTTTATGGTTAATACTTAAAACATTGTTATTAGAATTAATATATGTACATAGTTAAAACAGCTTGAAAATGATGTAAAATGAAAAGTGAAATCACTATTCCCCCACCCCCTTTCCAGGGTAGATAATATATTTGCTATCTACCTCCTTTTTTTTTTTTTTTTTTAATTTGTCTATTGTGGATAAATTTAGGGATTTATGGTGTCTTAGACTACCTCCTTCTGTTCTTTCCTTCTCCAGTTTTTATTCTTTGAGTTAGTAAACACAGGATCCTAGGTGCAGCAGCCTTTTCTTACTTATAGATATTAAAAGTCTCTTGAATCTACAAAGATGATAATTAGAAAAAAAAATGTTTCCTGAATCTGTTTACTGTTGGTCAATAGTTCTGTGTCTTTTTGGGCCTGTTTCCTTCTGTTGCTTTTTCTCCAACGTCTGATGGGCACTGGTTATCTGTCTATATTTTGGTTAATGTGAGTAATAGGTCTTGTTTTCAGTACACGGGTCGCTAATTGACTTGTGGCTTTTTGTACCAGGTCGCCTAGATAGGAAGGTTTCAGTTGAGGGCATGTGAGCAGGTACCAGACGGATAGGCTGGGAACCTGCCTTTTGCTTCAGGCTTTACAGTAGTGGAGGAGCAGCTTCTCCGCTGAGTATAGCTGTTTAACTTTGTTTCCTCAGTGTGAACTGTAAAATTGTTAAGCCTAAGTTTCTGCTGTGTACTCTTAACAGCAGTATTCACAATAGGGGTCCTACCCCTTCATTTCTAAAAAACTTTTGACTTTATCTTGGAGACAAACATAACTATTTTGGAGTTTTTGCTTGGAGAGTGGGGAGGGAGGAGGATTGAGTGATTTCCATGGTTTTTGTCCCGCTGCCAATTTATGACCTTTGGGCCCACTGACTTCAAGCTTGAAACCTCTAACTCGGCTCAGCTTGTAGGAATAGCATCTCCCCCTAATCCTTTGGTGTTTTTTTTTTTTTTTTTTTGGACGGAGTTTCACTCTGTTTCCCAGGCTGGAGCGCAGTGGCGCGATCTCGGCTCACTGTAACCTCTGCCTCCTGGGTTCAAGGGATTCTTCTGCCTCAACCTCTTAAGTAGCTGGGACTAAAGGCGCGCGCCACCACGCCCAGCTAATTGTTTTGTATTTTTTAGTAGAGACGGGATTTCACTACCTTGGTTAGGCTGATCTGGTCTTGAACTTCTGACCCCGTGATCTGCCCGTCTCAGCCTCCCAAATTGCTGGGATTACAGTCGTGAGCCACCACGCCTGTCCTTGGTGCATATTCTTAAATTTACTTTGTCCTACTCTGGTTTGAAGGTCAGTATTCCAACTACTTTTCATCTTCCTGAAGTTGGTTAACATCTGTCATTCACTGGTGGCATTTATTCCTTCTCCTGGTATGGATTTTATTTCCCTTTATCTTTATTTTCTTCCAGTGGGATTTGAGGAAGGAAGGAATACACGTATGTGCTCTCTGGAAATCTCTAATGCTTTTTTTGTTAGATGCCAGCAGAACATTGTAAACTTGCTTGGCAATTCTTCTTCGTTTTTATAACTCTGGGAACCCTAGATGAGGCAGGTATATCCAGAACCAGAGACTGTCCTGGCTTTAAAGAAAAAGCCAACAGTTAACAAATGTGCCACGTACCTGGTAACTAATATGGCAGAATAGCTTGAGCCGGGGAGGTAGGAGGTTGCGGTGAGCTGAGATCATGCCACTGCATTCCATTCTGGGTGACAGAGTGATACAATGTCTTAAGAAAAACAAAGAAAAGTTTTTTTTTTTTTTTGAGACGGAGTCTTGGTCTGTGGCCCAGGCTGGCGTGCAGTGGCACAATCTCGGTTCACTGCAACCTCCACCTCCTGGGTTCATGCCCTTCTCCTGCCTCAGCCTCCCGAGCAGCTGGGACTATAGGTGCTCGCCACTATGCCCGGCTAATTTTTTGTATTCTTTAGTAGAGACGGGGTTTCACTGTGTTAGCCGGGATGGCCTCGATGTCCTGACCTTGTGATCCGCCCGCCTCGGCCTCCCAAAGTGCTGGGATTACAGGCGTGAGCCACTGCGCCCGGCCAAGAAGAAGAGTTTTACAGCCAGCCACCATGGTTAACACCTGTAATCCCAGTGCTTTGGGAGGCTGGGAGGATCATGTGAGGCCAGGAGTTTGAGACCAGTCTAGGCAACTTAGCAAGACCCTTGTCTCTAAAAAAAAAAAAAAAAAAAAAAATTAACTGGGCCTGGTGGCATGCATGTGTAGTCCTCACTATCATAGGAGCAGAGTAGGCTCAGAGACTACTAAGTGATCAGTAGGATTGCTTGAGCTCAGGAGTTGAGTTTGAGGCTGTGGTAAACTGTGATTGCATCTCTGCATTCCAGCTGGAGTGACAGAGCAAGACCCTGTCCCTAATGTTCTTTTCCTTTTTTTTTTGTTTTTGAGATGGAGTCTCACTCTTGTCACCCAGGCTGGAGTGCAGTGGCACCATCTCCACTCACTGCAACCTCCACTTCCCAGGTTCAAGCGATTCTCCTGCCCCAGCCTCCCGAGTAGCTGGGTTTACAGGCGCCTGTCACCATGCCTGGCTAAGTTTTATATTTTTAGTAGAGATGGGGTTTCACTATGTTGGCTAGGCTGGTTTCGAACTCCTGACCTCAGGTAATCTCTCCGCTTCTGCCTCCCAAAGTGCCGGGGATTACAGGTGTGAGCCCCCATGCCTGGCCGAGATCCTGTCTTTAAAAAAAAAAAAAAAAAAAAAAAAAGGAATTTTACCAGTCTTTGATAATTTGGAAAAACCCAGAAAATGACAGTTTTGCACTTAGTTTTTGTGATTACTAGAAGGTTTCAAATGTTCATTTCCTTTTTTTCTTGCTCTGTCACCTAGGCTGGAGTGCAGTAGTGTGATCATGACTCACTACAGTCTCAACCTCCTGGGCTCAAATGATTATCCCAACTCAGCATCCTGAGTATCTGGTACTACCGGTGCGTGCTACCGTGCCTGGCTAATTAAAAATTTTTTATTTTTTTTTGTAGAGGTGGGTCTCCCTATGTTGCCCAGGCTGGTGTCAAACTATTGGGCTCCAGTGATCCTCCTGCCTTGGCCTCCTAAAGAGCTGGGATTATAGGTGTGAGACACTGCTCCCAGTCATCAAGTGTAGGTTTTCTAGAAAAAAGGTATTATATTACAAAGATGTGGTGAATGCTTTTAAATAGCACAACATATAAATCTTCCGGAAGGATCTGTTGGGGTCACATGTGTAGAACATTGTTTTATTCCTGTGAATACATAAAACACATGAATGAACTAAAAATGAAATAGAGATAGTAAAGCATAGTGTTAAGAGCCTGGAATTCTAAGACAGCTTGCCTAGGTTTGGATCCTGATTTCTACTCAATTGTGTGACCTTGGTAAACTTATTTACCTCTCTGGTTCTTAATGGTTCTTATTTCCTTTTTTTTTTTTTTTTTTTTTTTTTTTTTGAGATGGAGTCTCGCACTGTCGCCCTGGCTGATGTGCATGCAGTGGCACAATCTTGGCTCTCTGCAACTTTCGCCTCCCAGGTTCAAGTGATTCTCCTGCCTCAGCCTCCTGAGTAGCTAGGATTACAGGTGACTGCTACCATGCCTGGCTAATTTTTTTGTATTTTTAGTAGAGACCGAGTTTCACTATGTTGGCCAGGCTGTTCTCGAATTCCTGACCTTTCGATCCTCCTGCCTCAGCCTCCCAAAGTGCTGGGATTACAGGTGTGAGCCACTGCACCTGGCCTTAATGTTCTTATTTCTTTGAAAAAAAAAGGAAAAAAGATAATATGGCCTGGTGTGGAGGCTCACACCTGTAATCTCAGCACTTTGGAAGTCTGAGGCAGGAACATTGCTTGGGCCTAGGAGTTCAAGACCAGCCTGGGCAACATACAGTGAGACCCCATCTCTACAAAAAATAAACAAAATTGGGAGTCTCTGAGCCTACCTGATTTACCAAACCGCTCCCTCAACAAAAAGACAAAACGAAACCAAAAGAAAAAAAGAAAAAAAAAAAAAAGCCAGGTGTGATAGCACATGCCTGTAGTCCCAGCTACTCAGGAGACTGAGGCAGGAGGATTGCTTGAGCCTGGGAGGTCGAGACTGCAGTGAGCCATGATTGTACCAATGCACGCCAGCCTGGGTAACAGAGTGAGGCCCTGTCTCAAAAAAAAAAAAAAGGTTAAGAAAAAAAAAAGTAACTGAACTCAGTTGTGAGGATCAAGTGAGTTAATTTACAGTGCTTAGAACAGCGTCTTGCACATAGCAATCACTGTCTGTATTTATCTGTGGTTATGACAATATGATTGTTGCAGATTTTCTTTATTTCAAAGCACCATGTCAGTATTGCATTTTTTAAAGTTTACCAGTCTTAAGAACTGGTTTTTGCCATGTAAATGAACTTTGTCAATTACTTAGTTTCCATTTGCTAGGCCAAATATATTTCTTGCACTTGTTCAGTAATACAATACAAAGGTCTAGGCTGTGTGTGTGTATATTACAAGTATTCTTTTTTCTGTTACCTTACAGTGTATCACATTTAAATAGCATATTTAGATAGCAGTGTTAACACTTCTTGATGTGATAAGATGTATAGTCTGAATTTTTGCTCTTGCACAATTAAATTTGTTTTAGAAAAGTAAATAATCCAGTGTGTAAGTCTGTCTTGTCAAGTAGGTAGGTTGGTGGAATTC